TTTGCAAACTTCAATGTTCATAGTAATAAAAATCGATTTTATTTATTGCTACCTGAGCTCGACAGCCAGCATGTGATAGGCGGGAATCAACGCATCTAATTGTACGTATTTTCAAGGAAAACGACACCGCTCTCGAAACCCTGCACCATAAGCGAGTTCATTGCTTGCTTGATGGGTATTGGGTCCGCGTCCTTGTCGTCGAAGTACAAATTCCCGTTCACGTAAACTCTTACGTACTCGTCCTTCAGGAATATTGCAAAGAGGTAGGCTCGGTCAATTTGAAAATTCACTCTTCGCTTTGGTCCCCCGTTCACTAGTGAGTTCTTGCCTCTGCTGTAGTACCGAATGACCTCGCTTTGTCGGTTAACGTTGATTTGAACCTGGAAACCGTCGAAGCGGTCCTTGCCCGTCGAATTTGCGAAGCAGATGATCGCCGTCCTGGCCGCATTTTTGATTCGTCCCAAATATATCAATCGACGATCAACCAGACCAGGAGTGTACTTCAGCCCTTCTACGTAGTCTCCTTCCTTCCTCAACGATCCGGGCCCAACTTTGACAATGAACTCTGATTCTTCTGTTCCGCCAATTTGCCCATTCCTCGAAAAGAATACGAGGAGGAAAATGGCAAGTTGCCAAGCAGTCATTATTCAGCGTACTCCTTCATAACCAATATGTAAAGCGCACAATATGACCAGCCAATGATTTAATCTATTATTTTAAACGGAACGTTACAAATTAAGTAGCCTCATTTTAAACGGATGACGCTGCACCTATTTGGGAAGTGTTGTCATTGACGTTTTAAAAGATTTGGATTATTACCACAGCATATGTCATTTTTACATCTTATCTGACAAGGCGACGCAGTCGACCCGCTTCATGGGTTCATAAATCACACGGCTGAAGGAAAGGTCAGCTAATCGTTTAACAGACCCAGTTTCAACAGCAAGATATACTACGTCGGTCACCATGCCTCTTAAATTCTTCCCTCTCAGGCCTTCCTCCACCATAATTCATTTGTAAGCTAGAATTTTGTAAGCTTCCTCCGCTATAAGCGTTTGTGCCCATCTTCTTAAACGGAGACCTAGCGATCTTTCGCGATTTCTAAGGTACCCCTTGACGATAGCTTCTTCTCATCGATGGCCAGTACACAGCACAACTTGGCTGACTGACTGACGGACTGACGGGAGCAAAATTCTTCCCCCCACTCACCCCGCATGAATGAGATACTAGTAAAATAAATGACTAAAACATTCAGGCCAATGAACTGTCACTGACATTTTCTGTCAATTCGTAGAAGACCGCTCGACGAAGGGTTTGTAAATGAGGGAGACACGTGATCCCGTATATTAATTTCAAATGCCAATATTATTAATGTCTGTCATGGACCACTATTTCATGGTCAGTAGAGAAGGTAAGATTAACCGGAACAAAGAGGTCTTCCAAGCCATCAGGGCTAATCTTCAAGAGGAACAATGCTTGTGGTACAATGTTTTATCAACAGACTATAATGGGATATGCACCAATAGCTATGTTTACTTCTGGAAAAGCTTGATAAACCCAATTTCTAATCAAGACCAAGTGGCAAATGGTTTTCTCTTGCAAAGAACTGTCTAAAGAACTAATGAGTTCTGTAGTTCCCCCTTTCTTGCCTCGACTCTTATGTCTCAGAATTCATGGCAAGTCTAAGTGGTTAGAGACCGTCGTAGTGACGATTAGGTGCACATGTTCCGCCACACTTCGTTCTGTGACGCACGCTGAGACCCCGCCTCCGTACCTACGTGGTTGCTTTCTTTGAGAGGGACATACGAAGGCTTAATTACCGACAGAGGTGCGGCAGTGCGAGACGAGTTTGATGATGAATACGTTAATACTTATTATGCGAAAGTGAGTGCTAAGGCTGCTATTGCGTCCGTACACATACAATTCCTTATCACAAATGATTCAGGAGAGCTAATGATTATGTGTTTATAGATTCGAGAAGTCTAACGATGTTTCGCATATCGTGGCGGCTGGAAACAGTGATACAGTATGAGAGAAGGGCTCAGAGAAATTGCGGAAGTTTAGATATTCTCTCTCTGCTGAAAATATTAAATCATACAAAACTTGATCCCATCCTATTTCTATATGGATATGTGCAGCCATTAGCATGTCGTGGCACATATGATGTTGAGTATGAAGATAATGAGACTGCCACTGACATTTGCCAATGATTGGCAGTTGCCAATGACAGTTTCGATATAGGTAATGTTATGAACCTCGGTCATTATGTGATTATGTGATGAGTGGTGCTTGAGTATCGCCAAAAAGCAGGCAGATAGCTTCGACGTCTCCGATGTTCGTGCCACGATTTCATGGGTAGGGAGTAGCCGCCTCTGAACATAATACCATGACGCTGGATAAGCAGTTTCGTCATCGCGAAGTCTAAAATCAGATTTTTTCAAACACTATTTATTCAGCTATGGCAGTCAGCAAGCGAAAGACTCTACGGAGGGCAGCGGAGACTTGCTGGAGGGAAAGTTACGCTTCTGCAGTAGTAGGTGGTATTGCTGATGAAAACGTATGGACGTGGAAAGACATGAAGTGAAATTTCCTACCAATGCAGATTGTTCACTACTGTACGTATACACTAGGGTGCTGGCGACTCTGTTCAGGAGAAGTCAGTGGCAAAAGGTAGGCATTTTTGGGTTGCTCTTTCCGCTCCTTGGATGATTATCCAAAATTGTACTCCATTCAGCAATTTATATTGTTCCCTGTTCAGGACAAAACGACACGGACAATTGTGAAAATTTCCGAGGACCACGAAGCAAGTCATTTTTCCACAATCGAGGCCAATTTTGTCCTCCTTAGCATCAATGCTAGAATCGCTTTTCCTGAACTTCAGTTAGGCAACCGTCAAAGAATGAAGTTGGCAGAAGTCAATGAATGACCAATGACGAATGTCATCCGCGATTTGAAAAATTTTGACGTTGTTGCATGAGCTTGAACAACGTCAATATAGCGATTCCTCGTTCATTCATGTGATCTAACATAAATGTTACTCAATCTGAATCTGAAATTCCCCACATCTCTGCTCCTAGGAGTATGGATGATGCGCAGGAGCTCGCTTCAACAAATTGAAAAAGTGGTCTTGGCCGACACTCGCCAGTGATACATATTCATGAACGAAATCACTCAATATTTTACTTCTCTGAATTCATTGCCCTGAATAGTGATTAGCGAATGCATTTAAAAATAATGAGGGTTGGCATCTTGCATGTGTTGCCGAAGAACCACTCTCCAAAAAAACAGGCAGGAAAAGACTTACAGGAGTTAAAGTTACTTAGGATCATTGGGGCAATGTTCTTTTCATTTTTCATCTTTCAAAAAAGAAAGGATTGAAATGGAGATTCACTTGAATTTTCCCTCCGATGTGACTGGAACGTACTGGGATAGCCTAAAAGACAAAAAAGGCAACGATTATTCTGAAAGAGTCGACTTGAGTTGGTGACATGCATTAATTAATGAAAAGTAAGATTAAATGATTATGATAATTATGATTGGATTAAAAGACGAAAGTACTTTTTAGTACTTTCATCAGCTGTCATCCTGTTCTTCTGGCAGTCCTCCCATGGTCTTCACTCTTTCTTGAGACAGATGAAAACAACGTCTACATACTTTCTATACAGCTTATTGCAACCGGTCCTTCTATCTTTAAAGCGATTTCACTCTAGGTCGAGAGCATACAGGTCTCTCAGTCCATGAATACCTCATTTTTTGACAGTTTTAGGGCTTATGGCAGGCATCAATGGCCAATGAAACTTCATTGCCCGTTAGTCCGTCTGACTTCCCTTTATATTCCTAATATGACGTTTAGAAGTTAATTATTGTTGCGGGCTGAAAGAATACCATTTAGGACCACTCCCAAAGTCTTGTTTGATTCTGTTTCCTTTTAACGATTCAGATTCTCGAATAAACGTTGATACAATGGTCTACATTTGACTATCCGCTTAGTTGAGTTTCGATCCATGATTTTCTGCTTCACTCTATGCCATGACGACACCTAGCATGACATCTCTTCATCCACTGCGACTTGCAGAATCGCTTTGTTTGGCCACCTGGCAATGATTTCAGTCGATATTCCCATCTGGGTAAGTTTGCAGGAGCTGCCGACGTTTGCGAGGGGTCACCTGTTTCGCCTCCCAGGCAGTTGAAACAGACTATGGAATTTGTGAGGAAACAGTATGTTCCTAGCAGACTCATCGATCATGGAAAAATTCCATGCCACCTGTCAGAGTTGGTTGAAACAGCGATGATGACGATTGCTTAATCGGGATCTTACTTGTTCTCCATGAAATACTAAGGGAAGATTAGACGACAAAATGGGGTGGAACAGCTGCTGCTCCAAACCTGAAATGAGCCAATATCCAACATGAAATGATTGAAGAAGTCGAAAAATACATTTACCTTGGCGATGAGATCAACATGCAGCATGATCAGGATGGAGAGATTCAGCGAAGACAGAGGGTCAGTTATCGAGCGTTCCATTTCATCGGGGACCTCCTACTAGACAACATCAGAAAAAGACCCGCACCCACCTGTCAAGTTATACCGTACTGCCGGAAGGGTTGTATGGCTGTGAGAAATGGTAACTTAAAGAGTCAGCTGTCTGTCACTTTGAGAGAGTCATGAAATGAAGAATACTGAGAATTTCACGTAGCAACTTTATTCTGAAGTGGTCAGACAGCGGAGGGGAGTGAGTGATATTGTCGTCGAGAGCAAAATGAAGAAGCTACAGTAGGCCAGGCTAGTAGCTCGACTCACCAACGCAGATGGCCGGCAATGATGGTCGACTGGCGCTCTCGCTGGTGAACTGAATCGCTTGGTCATTCACTATAATGGTGGGAAGAATAGATTAAAAGCCGGAAAGACCGCAATTGGAAGGAAAAGGCTCAGAACCATAAGGAATGGTGGGCATCACTGTTTATCGGCTAATCCAAGTGACTGTGAGAAAC